TAAATATTGGCATGTACAAAGTTTGCACACATTCGAATGATCATTTCTTTGTCTAAGAGGATTATTATTTTCTTTGAAAATTTTGCGCTTTTATGGGTGACGCACCAAAAAGATTAGACCGTTTTTGCCCATCTACAAACTCGATCTAAGTTTGACAATAGTATTACTAGTTTTTGACCATAAGTGGATACTACCTTCGACAGTTGTCATGCACACAAGCCAGACGTACGGACATCTCTAGATCTACTCCTAATTTCCTGAAAGGGATTTGGTTGAAAGAAACCTGGGGTCTAAAACCTTTATTTCTACGAGGCACCTATTGGCAGTATCAAATGATATATACCCTCTGTAGCCAAATGGCTGAAGGTATACAAATCACAAATCCTACTCGAAACAGTCATTATTATGACACGAACATTCAACAAATCCAATATGGATACACTTAATCACAACTTGTGGGAAGTTTGGCTTTCTAAACACCATTAGATATGGCATTAGATAATTACAATATGTCACAAAAAGGAGGGTGAATTATGAACATATATGAGTGTATGGTATCATATGATACGCCACCATCAATGGATGATCATAAGTATGACATTTGATGACAAGCACTTTGTGAACGATAATTCACGTGAACAATATTTTTGGGCACAGATTTGCATACTTTCACTTTTTCGATTTTTGTTTTTTTTTGCCATCGAATATGGTTTGATTATACCATGACATTATCATCAAAATAAGAGAAAAAAAATCCTTTGTTTGGATCATTAGATGATTATTTATTTTTGGTTTGAGAAAAAAAACTTATCTCAAAAAATAAATAAATAAACAAAAAAAAAATCGCAAAAAAACAAACATCAAGTGCCTAACACAGATATAGTGTCTTATTTGGGAAAATATATTTCAATTGCATGTCTGGCAACAATAAATTCAGTGTGATTTACTAAGGTATTTTGGCAAGACTCTGGGATAAATTAAATGTAAATCAGTCATAAATTGAAATTATTTCGTATTTTTCTCTCTCTTTAAAAAAAAGTAGAAAATCACAATTGGTATGAACTGCAGCTTTAGGCTTGTTAGTCGTTTAGTCCAACATTAAATGCATTTTGCATTTAAATCATTGACAATACTTGGTAATCACTGTGATTTTCAGCTTCGAACACAGCCCAGGTTAAGAGAGAAAATATTAACGGTGATTTTGTTTGTTCGGACACTTCACTTTATGTGGCTTTGATGCCTTTAAGGCATAAATCTGCATGTGTATTTGTGTGTGTGTGAATTTTATATGCGAATTTGCCTAAAGTAGTCGCTTTGTCATGGGTTTTGTTTGCATTTTCGGTTACAGCAGAGGCCAGTTGGTGGTGTGTATCTCGATATCTCTTCTTGCAAATAAAGTCATTATATCCATGAGTTTATGTTTGTTTGCATTTGAGGCTTGGTTTTAATAACTGTGAATTTTGTCTCTGTCGCTCTCCACTTTCCACTTTAATGAAATTATTATTTACAATCGTTTACAGGTTTGCCATGGGTTTGTTTGCCGTCCCAATCTTTTGGGTGTAAATTGTCGTCATATGGATGGATATTCATAAATTAGTAGATTTTATGCCTCTAATGCATTGACCGACCGTTAGGGGAACTAACAAGAAATTCGATGCAGGGTGGTATGACTACAAATATTTGATTATAGGCTATTTCTATTAATATTTGATTATAGGCTATTTCTATTATACTATGGAGGGTATATTAACTTTGTCATTCCGTTTGTAACTCCTCGAAATATTTATAATAGACCCAACAAAGTATATATATTCTCGATCAACGTAAAATTCTAAGACGATCCAGCGATGCTCGTCCGTCTGTATGTCTGTGTGTTGTAATCAAGCTATCTTTCGAACGAATTAAGATAGAGGGCTTTGCATACATGCATAGTTTACCAGTAGGTATGTTAAGTTCGTTCGTCTTCGGCCACGTCTTCGTATAGCCCCCATATAACGGTACCTCCACATATTCGGTATTTTGAAGATTTCAGCAACATTATTCACAGGAATAGTTTCAAATTTCGTATTGGAAGATCTTAATGATTAGTACAACCTATGGAAAAAAATTTCGTATGCAGGTCTTTGTATGTATAGCCCCTAAACAACGGTACATCCCGATATTAGGTACTTTGATTATTTTAGCGACATTATTCACCGGAAATGTTTCAAATGTGGTATCTAAAGATCATAATGACACCTTTAGTGATAGTGAAAACATTAATACCACTACCACTACTAAAAAATTGCACTGCCACCACATTTTAGTGGTAATGCATTTTTTTAAGTATCACTAAATGGTTATTGGTAGTGCAACTAACCCTTTAGTGGTACTGGAATTGAAATAGCACCACCACTAATTATTTAATTCTTAGTGCACTAAAAATTTAGCGCAATATGACCAAATGTACCAAATAAAGGGATGAGCCGTTATATGTGAGCTATATGAAGACTTGGACCTACAAAGACCATTTCAGCCATATGAAAGTAGTACCCAATATTAGCTTCAACTGCGAAATTTGAAACAATTCTGATGAAAAATCTTACAAAAATCATCAAAGTACCGAATATTGGGAGGTATCGTAATATGGGGGTTATACTAAGACACATTCGCGATTTTTTGTCACATACGAAATTTGAAACAATTCCTATAAAAAATGTGTAAAAAATGTATGGGGGCTATACGATATGGTGGATCTATATAGACAATACTCTTCCACAGGGTAAAGAACTCAGAAAGAACTTCTTGTGTGGGTTTTCAGACATTGTCATTGAAAATCGGGAGGTACCTCTATGCAGGTCTGATATGGACATAGAGGCAAAGTATATCTACGTGTTAAAAGTTTGCATCGCAAAGTAAACTTAATAGAAGGGCGAGTTCCCCCTCTTTCACACTTCTGGAAATTTTCGAATTAAGATTCCTCGGAGTCCGTGCATTTTAAAATTAAAATTCAATTAAAATTCCAAAAAGTGCAAAAACTTACACCGCACCAAAAAGAAAATAGACTCAAAAGAGCTAAAGAGTTGGTTCGCTTCGCACTTTCGGGGTGAACTGCCGAATTTGGTTTTCTTCGATGAGAAAACATTCGTTCTCCAGCAGTTTGTTAACAAACAAAATGATCGTGTTTACTTGCCAGAGGTCGGCTGAAAATGTGCACCTCAAGCGCCGGCCATGGTGATGGTGTATGCCGCCATAACCGCCTCGTATTAATCGACCGTGGCATCAGAATAAATGTCGAATTTTATCGCGAAAATATTCTGGAGGGTGTATTAAAGCCTTGGGCACGCAAACATTTTGGCCGCATACCTTAGACATTCCAACAGGGCTCAGCATAATCGCACTCAGCACGCGCTACCCAAGAATGGTTACAAAATGAGGTTCCTCGCTTAATTTCCAGCGCACAATGGCCACTAAAATCTCTGGATTCCAATCCGTTGCACTATTATATCTGGAGTACTTTGGAAAGCATGGTTGGCACTAAAAAATACCAAAGTGTCGATCACCTCAAGCAAGCGCTTCGCCGGGAATGGGCCAAAATACCGCAGAGCAACATTTGGGCAGCGTGTGACGGTTTCATTGGCCGTTTGAAGAACATAATTCGTGCCAAATGTGAGCAATTTGAACAAATCTAAACTTATTCTAAAATTTGATGCTATTTCCGACATTTTTTGCTTTCAATTAATAAAATTAAAAAAAATATGTAAAAATTATGGCGTTTGACTTTATTGTATTTTTTGATCTCACCCTGTATATCATCTTCTTGTATTGATGGAAACATTGAGATGTTCAAAGTCTGAATGGAATCGGTTGTTAATTTCACGTTTTATGAGCATCAGGGATAAAAAAAACTTTGACCCATTGTGGGGGAGGTATCAAAAGGAGTGAATCGATATGTCCAATTTTCGCAGCAGATCTTGTGTTAGTAGAACAAATGGGATGTTAAAAATTTGAAGATAATCTCGCGTTATATGAGCTTCATGGATATTCCAAATTCTGACCCTTTGTGGGGGAGGTACCAGAAGGTGTAGACCAATATTTCCCATCTTAACAGCAGATTTTGTCTTGGTAAAAATAATGGGAATGTAAAATATTAAGAAAACCGGATGCCCCACACCAGATCTTGTGTTAACAAATATATTGCGATGTGTGCAATTTGAAGACAATCGGACTCTTATCATTTTTAAAAAAGTTATAATTATTCAAAATGTTGACTCTTTGTGGGGGAGATACTTGATGGATGGATGATATATTGTCTATTTTCTCACATGACCTAGCACTTACGCAAACACTGAGTTTTGCAAACTTGTAGCAAAATTGGATTATCTTTTCTCTTTGTGGGCAGTGAAATATTTTCTTTGAATATTTTGACTTTTTTTGGGGGAGGCACCAAAAAGAGTGTACTGATATTCTATGATAATAATATGATGTACCATGTTTGGAACAAATCCGATACTTCCTTCGAGAGTTATCGTGCGCACCAGCCAGACAGACGGACGGACGGACATTCTTAGATCGACGCCAAATGTCCTGAAACGGATTTGGTCCAAAGAAACCTAGGGTCTAAAACCGTTATTTCGATGAGGCACTTTTTGGCCGTATCAAATGATATATACCCTCTGCAGGGCTGAGGGTATAATTACAAAATTACCATTTCCTTGAAATAAGTGAAATCTGTAAACACTTTACTAGTGGAGTATTTGTTAATGCCTTGGGAATTTGTGTTGTCTCTCTTTTGGGTTGACAACCTATCATTTTTATTACCAGTCTTCCACGTACCTCCCAAAAGGCAAAGCCAATAATTTTTATTGATTTTATTTTCTCTCTCCACTTCACTTCACTTCATTCCATTGAAATGCGATTTTTATGTACAAGTCGGAGGGGTAAATTAAATTGATTTATTGAATAAAATTACATGTTTCACATAATGTAAAGTAATACTTGTAAATTGTTTTACCACTTACCTGGTTAGTTTTTTGTTTTTTTTTTCGATTTTTCTTTAAATTCGAAGACAAGTGGTGTCTGCAGTTTTCAAAATTCGGTAGACCAACTGCACAATGGAAACAAAATAAGAATGAGAAGAACAGCAGTTCTTCTTGTTGCTTTTGAAGCTAATTTTCAATTATAATGCCATGTAATCATAGCAACACAGGACTCCTGGAAGGTTCGAAGAGCGGCGGCGGGGCTAAAATGTTAAAGTTTTGTGTAATGTTGCCCGATACGTGTAAAGATGTAACGTATGCGATAAGACCCACACAACGTGGCAACGATTTTGTTGATGTTGAAAGACAATATTGATGATGATAGGGCCAATGATGTTGTTGATGTCTACCTGCCACAAATGATGATGGCTAAGCTAGGCGAGAGCCAGTGTGTGTGTGCGAGCGTGATGTTGGTGTTTGCTGATTGCAGAACGTTAACACAGTTTCGGCAATTCCTAGGTTCTTCTGATTGTCGACAATTGCTGTTGGCTGGCTGTGTCTGTCCGTCTGACTGCCAGCCAAATATGGCCTTAATGTAATGCGTGTTTACAATAACAATTTAATACACATAACAATGGCGATGGCAACGAAGACGACGTACAACAGGAAAATAAAAAACGCCAACATATAACCAGGCATAAACCAGGATGACGCGGACGCGAACCCGACCGGCGGCTTCAAATCGATCGATCGACCGACGAACGAAAATCGTATCAAAAACTCAAATAAAAATCACGACTCGGCGACTCGTTGGCGTCTTTGGTTATCGCAGGCAACGCGTTTGCAATGATTATTTCTTTTTTATTTTTTTGTGGCAACTGTAATGTGAATGAATTGTTGGTTTATTGCAATTCTCAACTGGTGGTTGGTTCTCCAGAAACTATAATAGCAATTGCTGTTCTTATATTCTTAGGTTTCCAGTTAAAACGCTTTTCACAGCACATTAACACATTTTCGCATAATAGTAACAACAAAGATCTTCATATCTACAATATGCGATTTTTCATTATAAATTGCTGGAATATATTCGAGAAATTTTTCCTTTTTTTGTGTGAGCCACTTTTAAATTATGTTTTTTTTTATTTGTGTTTTATTGCTTGCTCAGCGGGTTAAAATTCCGCTTTTGATATATTGGGTGGTTGTCGTTTGCCTTTGCCACCTTGTTGTTCACATTTTGCGGTGGTTCGTTGTGTTGTTAAAGTTTTTTGTTTTTTTTTTTTCGTTTTCAGTTGTCAGTTTCACTTTTATTCGAATGCCTGTAGTTGACTTGGCATTGATGATGTTGGCGCTTGGGTTGGTAATTTTTATTTATTCCTGCAAAGACAGAAGATCGGAAATATGTGATTAATATTGGAAGCCAAAGAAAATTTGGCGCCAATTTGAACAGAAATAGTAATTGTGGTAAAATATGGTTCAATGTGGGTTGTATTTTTCATAAATCCGAGGAGGCATTATAATTATATATGAGGCATAAATGGGTATGTAAGTGGGTCATAAATCTTAATATTTTTTATTCAATGTAAAAATTAAACCGAACAATGTCTGTACACTTTTAAAGGTGAAATTATATTAAAGTAGTTGACCAAAGCTACTGGCAGCTCATAAATGAAGGAAATTTTTTACGAGCAAATCCTTTGCCCGTTAAACAAGGACAATATGTCAATAATCAGCTCACAGTTTCTGAGGTCTTTGTTTTTTTTTTTTTTTTTTTTTGGAAACATGACATTCGTCGTAAAGGTCTTCCACAGTCTGAAAAATAACAGGCTTCCGAAAAACTCGCTCGAATTAGTACAAAGAGTAAAACTTACTCGAATGAAACTCGACGAGCGTACTCAATTTTTCAGTATAGCTCGAATGTGAATGAGCATAAATTCTCATTTTAAAAATCGAGCATATTCTACTCTTGCCGAGCACTCTTTTAGTTTTTGTTATACCCTTGTTTTTGTTATACGCCATAATTTTTAAAATTTCTTAAATTTTTTTATAAAAGCAAAAAATGTTGGAAATAGGATCAAATTTTAGAATAAGTTTAGATTTATTCGAATTGATTACCTTTGGCACGAATTATGGCCATCAAGCGGCCAATGAAACCATCATAATTTGGCCCATTCCCGGCGAAGCGCTTGCTTGAGGTGATCGACACTTTGGTTTTTTTTTTTGAAGCTAACCTTGCTTTCCAAAATATATCAGACACAATAGTCCAACGGATTGGTATCCGGAGATTTTGGTGGTCATTGTGCGCTGCTGGATTTTTTCAGAAACTGGCTGCATGCCAAACTGGGGTCCGTGGGGTCGTTACACCTATTTTCTTTTTCGAAAATGTTTATTCAGTTCGTCTATGGACTAGACACCTATGCAGCTCGTCCATGGACTAGACCCCTAGAAAGTTATTGTTTTCTTTATCCGACATTTTTACTTTGCCTCTTTTCCAATGTTTTCTGTGTAATGGTAAGTAGCAATGGGTCTTTCATTTGTTTACTCTCGATCTTTTTCTTTCGGAATCTTTAAGGCAAAATTCTATTATGTATAATAAATAACACTGCCCTACAATGAGATCTTATAGAAAGGCCCTTATAGCATTTTCTGACCAGATTGAGCCAACTTTTACCTATTCCATCATATTCACATTAGCTTTGTAACCATTAAACGCCTTCTCAATCAATCAGCTAAAATTACCATGAACAATGGAGAGAAAGAAAAACAATCACCCTCAAACAAAAGATCACATGGTAATCCAATCGGTCCATTACTGCTCGGTGGTCGGTGTTCGTAGGTTTGTGCCCTATGAACAATTTTTTTCGTTTCGTTTCAAGATTTTTGTCTTTGGCCCTCATATTACCTGTCATACAACACTCACATAATTTTTGTGTTATTGTGTTCCGCTGTCCACCTCGCTTGTTGATGCTATCCAAAGAAAAAATGGTACTCCAACCAAACGCATGCTGGATGGATACTTTTGTTCCGTTGTTGCTGTTGCAATTCCCTAAGCCTTAAAATATTTTTTCTTTTCTTTGTTTTTTGGTTTTTTCTTTTCATTGCAAAGTTTTTTTTTTTTTTTCAAAGTTATTGTTATGATTTTTTCTGTCTTTGTCAGTGGTAGATAGAGCGGAGTGGGAAAAAGAGGGTGTTGTAGAATAGTAAAGCACTTGTGGTATGCCAGTTGTTTATTGTTATGGCCATAATCGAATCATATATCGCAACCAAACATGTCTGTCTCTTGTGAGGTTGCAACGACATTGGAACGGCATTTTTGGGTTGACCATGCCGGCCAGGTTGAAGAGTGATTTGTGGGGTCGTTATGGTTTATGGAATTCAATCGCTTTATTTTATAGTGTCGCGAAGGTAAGCATTCCTATATTGCATGTTAGGTGAGGAAATTTAATGAAAACATAAATATTGGAATGTTTATATAAAATCATCAAATATATAACCATATCACACACATTTTAAATTTCAAATACTAATCGTAGGTCATAAAATTTTAAATCCTACAAATTAGTAGAACATATCTTAAAATATTCCCAACACATTGGCAAAAAATTACCATTTCTTAAGAAATGCTTCAGTAACTCTTACATCGACCGCTTAGCATAATTTATTCATAGAACAAAAATTAAACAGAAAATAATGCCCAAGAATAACGCCATTTCACCAGTTCTGGTGAACCAACATTGAACTACTAGCTCCAGAGTTCCTGGTTACGTTGTGACTGCGAAACAAGTTTCGATCACACACTAGGGCCCAGTTTAGATAAGATAGCAAATCGTGTCATTCAATCGTTTCTTCCTTCATTAACTAACGCCCACACGAGTTACCTACAGCCACCAATAAACAACATTATTATTAAGTTCATTATTTTCAACCACAACCTCATTTATTAATAACATCTTTATTATTAACACCATTATTATTAACATCATTATTATTAACATCATTATTATTAATATCATTATTATTAACATCATTATTAGTTACAACATTGTCATAAGCACCAAAGAGCTAACACCAATATTGTTGACATTATTTCGTCAGCAATAATTCTCCACTTCAACATCACAATAACAACACTAGTAATAAAACTACGACGGAAATAACCCAAAAAGAAATGTTTACTTTTACTGTACCCAATACAAATTTTTAGCTTAAGTATTTTTCTTGATAGCTCTAGATTTTATGTTTCTTTGTTCTTTGTTAACTCTAAGAAAAATCAATAATTGTAAAATCACTTAAATATAAGAATTTTTTGAATAAAGCATCAGTTGTATTTGGCATCTAAAACAGAATGATTCTTGTTTTCTTATTTGTCGGCGGTACGGAAGTTAACTGGCGCAGTCGTACGGCCATTGTTGGTGCGGTCTTTCTCAAGTGAAAAAATATAATTAAATAAATGTATCCTTAAAACAAAAAAAAAAAACCAAAAAAAAAAAAAAACAGTGACAAGTTAATTGTGGAAAAAACAGTGAACTATCCTTTAAAGGACATAAAAATTTTTTTTTTTGAGAAAAATTTGGTGAAGAAAAAATATATTAAATTAATTAGGCTTGACGGTATATCAAGTAATCCTTAAGGAGAAAAATCGTGCGCCAACAATCGGAAAAAAAAGATCCTACGTCCGTACAACCGAGAAAATCAAGTGCCAATACAATATAGTATTTTGTTGAAGGAATATCAACAATTTACTATAAGAAGAGAAGGAATATCTCTTAAATAAAAATATATATTTAAAATCAAAAATAATATTTTGTTGACGGAATATCAACAAACATAACCATCCAGAGAGAATTAATATCTTTTTGGTTGGAATAAATATTTAATAAAAATTGTTGAAGGAATATCAACAAATTATATCTTAAATAAAAAATATATATAAATTCATAAATAATATTTTGTTGAAGGAATATCAACAAATATTACCATCCGGAGAGAATGAATATCTTTTTGGTTGGAATAAATATTTAATGAAAATCGTTGAAGGAATATCAACAAATAATACGGTCATAGTGGATCAGATCAGATAAAACAAGAAAAAAACCAACTAACAAAAACAAATAACAATACAGTGAAGAAAAAAAAAAAAAGGAAAATCAACTAAAAATAACAATTAAAAAGTTAATAACATATAACAATAACAACAACCGTAACAAAAACGAAAAAAAAAAAAAAACTAAAAAAAAAAAAAAAAAAAAAAAAAAAAAAAAAAAAAAAAAAAAAAAACAAAAACAAGCAACAATTAAAACAACAAACAACAACTACAAGTGAAGAACAAGAAATAGTCCTGAAGCAGTCCATATCTACAAGCAACTTATACAGGTCTCATCGGAGGAAAGAAGCAGATAAAAACCTTGGAAATCAACAATGAAATTATTTATTATGATAATACTAGGGTAATTATTTTAAGAAAATTATAATATTTATCACTATTATATTACTTTATAAAATATAAAACAGAAATAAGCAAAGAAATATTTCAATTATAAAGAAAAAGGCTAATCAAAATATCTCAAATCAATAAAAAGGGTAATTATATTAAATGCGAAGACTAAGACCAAGACCATATTCTATTCGATACTTAACTGCAATACCGGAACAACAAGAAATGACTACCGTTAATGACATTAGTGCCCCTCAGGCGCTACAATCTCAACAACCGTCACAATCCTCTCAAGCATACGAAACATTAAAAATTCCAGATGCCGTAAAAGATTTACCAACATTTAATGGAAATCCAAGGCAACTAAATGATTTTTTAGAAAACGTTGAAGAGATTTTAAGAATATTAGCGAATATCGATGGTTCTAACCAAGCAACAGTAGTGCTTAGAGCCATCAGAAACAAAATAGTGGGAGAAGCTAATGAAGTACTTAATTCATCCGGTACTCCGTTAGTTTGGGAGGTAATTAAAGCGAATCTAATACTTAAATATTCGGATAAAAGGAGTGAAACCTCCCTTGTGCGTGAACTCCACAATTTACGACAAAATAATCAGACTGTGCAAGAATTTTATGGTTCAGTTATAGAGCTACAGGCAGCAATAAATAATAATATATCAATTCATGAAACTAACAAACATGTCATAAACTCGAGGCGCGAATTTAACGCTAAAATGTGCTTAGATGCATTCTTAATAGGCCTCCGAGAACCCCTTGGCTCAATGATTAGGTCTATGAGACCCGACTCATTAGATGAAGCATTAACATTCTGCATTCAGGAACAAAATATACAATATTCAAGAAGACTTACTTACAACCAACCATTCTACCAACCAAGGTATAGACAGAATACACGGAATTATGCCCCTGCTCGTAATTACCAAC